GGGGGGAATTTGGGATGGGGGCGTGGACTGGAAAAAAAAAATGGAACGCTCGGTTCAGTCGCGTCTCTCTCTATCCGAGATTCGTGCCTCTTTTCCGTCTGCGCGGTCGAGTTATTTTTAACTGTCATCGTGGGTAATGCAATATTCAATAATTTCGGAATTTAGGTTTTTAGGTGAATGGTCAAAAATTTTATGTAACCAGGATCTTGCTGAATGTTTACCCGGTACGATCTTTATCGATCTTCGTTCCGGAGTCATCCTTGATAATACATGCGAATGAGGTGGAGTTTGAATTTTGTTTTTTTCTTTTTCCTTCAAAAGGCGTTACTGGTTTAGAATTGGATGATCGTCCCTGGAACGTACGTAGTCGAGCGCATTATCGCTTCGATGATTACGATCGGAATAGGAACGGGCTCTCCGCAGCCTTTGTCCTACTTAGGCGCAATTAGCGGCGACTTCCGCTTTCGTCCGTGGCGGCCTTAGAAACTTTACTTCCCCCTCAAGGTTGGCTGCAGTTGCTCGCGGCTCGATCGAAATTGCGATGTAACCGGCTGCCTCGGAAACCGTGCGATTATCCGGCACTGGCGCAACGTCGAAAAAGAGAATACGATACGAATTGCTAGAACGACACGCGAACTTGGATTCTCCTTCGTTGGACGGTATTTACCATAGAAGGAAACAAGTCGGTCTCTCACGATGTTACTTTTTATTTAATTCTCTTTAACTGTCCTTTACAGCCGTACGTGCAGACCGAATGCGCGGTGGAAGAAACAAGTTCGGGCCAATGTACAAAAGGGATCGCGCGAGGAAGCTGCAGCTTCTCAGACAACGGCAAATGGCTCTTCAAACGATAAGGGGCAGTCTGGGCGACCCCTCGAACTACCCCTCGGCCGTGACGCCCTTCCTGCACATCAAGCAGGAGATTCAGATACCTCAGGTCTCGAGTCTCACGTCATCGCCGGACTCGAGTCCATCCCCTGCAGCCGTGGCAGCGGGTCTGGTCACGACGCAGGCCGGAAGCGGCGGCGGCAGCAGTGCTACCGGCGGAAGCGGCGGCAGTGGCGGCGGCGGCGGCGGGGGCGGCGCTGGTCAACATCAATTAATAGCACCCTCCAATCAGCCGAACATCTCCGGCGGTAATCATCATCACAATCCCAACCCCAGCCTGGACAGCAAACTCTGGGCCGCCAACTCGACCACCCTCAGTCCCAAGGACTTCAACTACGGCGAGCAGTCCCAGCAAGCTCATGGAAACGCGCCCACGCCCTCCGCCACTACCCTTAAAACTAGTCCGCTGATAAGAGACTTCGTGCAAACCGTGGACGATCGCGAGTGGCAGGCCTCGCTTTTTGGACTCTTGCAAAGCCAAACGTACAATCAGTGTGAAGTGGACTTGTTCGAACTTATGTGCAAAGTGCTTGACCAGAATCTCTTCTCGCAGGTCGACTGGGCGAGGAACTCTGTATTCTTCAAGGATCTCAAGGTTTGTCAGTTCAGAAACCTCTGATCAATCAATTTACCCCGAAGTCTATTGTTATTGAGACACTATTTTTTTTTACCCGCATTAATATACCTAATCGTTAACAAGAGAGAATTTCATGGCTCTTTCTGCACAGGTATTTATCGTAGATCGTGAAAAGTGCATTTTTTGGGATAATTATTAACCACGTGGCGATCCTGGAATTATAAGGTATAATCCATCCCGATACACCCTCCCTCCAGCGTGATCGTGGAGCTGATCGGAAATCGTCCTCGTGTAGCTCTTCTCGTCCAAGTGCCTACAGTTCTTACCGATAAGTTCCCCGTTGCTCGGCTGCCGGTGCCGTGAGCGGGGATGTGAGGTAACCAGCAGCATTGCACAATCGCTGAATGATTTCAAGCATCGCCTCATATCTGGGTCATAGCAAGATACGTTTCTAGGTTATGGCGGTTGCCCCAAAGCGGGTCCATAATAATTCTTGACTATACGACTCGCGAATAATTCAATTCCACCATGGGTATTATCCATGTATCCATGTATCGTTTTTTTCTTTCATAATATTCTCCACGCGTATTCCCTCTGATTGCAGACGCGTAACCAATCCGAGAGTCACACTTTGTGTTCTCGGTCTAAACTCTCAGCGGGGTTTAATGACAGTATGAAATTTAAAAAGGAGACTATGTATGCGGATAAATAATGAAGTGCCGCGCGATGCTTCACCGTATGCGATGTATTATAAAAGTAATCCCAGTAGCAAGACTCGGAAATTATTATTATAACAATGGAGTCGTCAGCTGCACCTAGTGCAGCCCGTCGCGGTTCGCTCTATCTCGTTAAAAGTCCGCGTGCTAAGATATCATACGGCTGAGCTTGTTGGATGTATCTGGAAATAACGGGTCTCATTGTATAATCAGGTTGCGCTGTACGCGTAGCGTCGACCGTGATGTTAAACGCTTTTACGTTACGCGCGCACTTGGAGTAGCAGCGCCCGTTCGTTTCTAATACAGAGGGAACGAGAGTCTTTGAGGAACTGATTATATTGATAAGAAAAACAAAAAAAGGAAAAGAGGGGGTAGAGATTGTAGGACGCCAATGCCACGAGAAAATACATAAATAATTATTGATGTCATTCGTTGTTCAGGTTGATGACCAAATGAAGCTTCTACAGCACTCCTGGTCAGATATGTTGGTGCTCGATCATCTTCATCAGAGGTTACACAATAACTTACCGGACGAGACGACACTTCACAATGGCCAAAAGTTTGATCTCCTTTGTCTCGGCCTATTGGGGGTTCCTTCCTTGGCGGATCTCTTCAACGATCTGTCCACCAAGCTCCAAGAGCTCAAATTCGACCTGTCCGATTACATCTGCATGAAATTTCTAATGCTGCTCAATCACGGTAAGACTCGTGCGATGGCTCCTTGCCAGTTTTGTAGATTGATCATTGAGAGAGGTCATTTCGCCTTTTGGAGGTTGAAGAATGAACTTTATTCAATGGTCTTGATCCTTGACACCTTGGAAAATAGTTGAATGACTCTTACACCCGTTGCACTGTGAATTTTAACAAGTCCGAGGAATGGACTGACCTTTGCTGGTCATCCAGTGGCGAGGAGCCCCAAGGGTCCAGGTACAATGGATGATGTAGAGCTTGGTACTTGTTAGCTTAGTCCTGGATAGGAAGACCCTGGGTGGTTCAGTGGCGAAGATCAGAGTAACGTTAAACGAAGCTCCGGGTGCCGTGTTGTTATTATCTTGGGCTCAGGGGAAAAGGATTCTTAGTATTGTACCAGTACCGTGTTATATAGAACGTACGTGGAGGAGAGGGTCCTTTGGTTAATACATTATTGTCCGTTAATGTGCAGATGTGCGTGGACTGGTGAACAAGAAGCACGTGCAAGAGGGTCACGAACAGGTTCAACAGGCTCTTCTGGATTACACGTTAACCTGTTATCCGTCTATACCGGTAAGTAATTTGAAAAACAAAAAGAATGTAGGAAAAAAAGAAATGGGGCAGACTTCTCTGGAAGCTGATGGAACGAAAACACGACGTGACGTTATAGCAGTGGGTTTCAGTGGGTGAAATAGTAGCTGCGTTTGAGTGTCCAAGGTGGAGACTGTTGCGAAGGCAAGGGTTGTGGTTTTCGTGTTATTCTAAAGGTGTTTGTCTTTTGTCAACAGGACAAGTTCAACAAGCTGCTAGCAGTATTACCAGAGATCCATGCGGTGGCGAGCAGAGGGGAGGATCATCTTTACCAGAAGCACTGCAACGGCGGTGCGCCGACGCAGACCTTGCTGATGGAGATGCTTCACGCGAAGAGGAAATGAAAGGACGAATCGTTTTGGCAGCTTTGTCGTGCAGACGATCTAACGCTGTATATTGAGAGTCCTGGTTGAGACCCTGGCCGTGATATAAATCAGCGGTAACAGCGGTAGCGGCGACTGCAGCAACGGCAGCAAGAGCAGTACGAACTGGATGAAACGGGAAGATCCTGAAAGGGATAGAGGTACCTGCGCGAGGTGGAAGTTATATCGTCCTCGTCGTCGCGATTACTTTAGGTCTTTGTTTCTCGTGAGGATTGGCCAGTGCTGCTTAGGGGGATCGGACCAAAAGTTAAATGGGGTAGGGGCCTCCTGGTTCAAGGATTACCTTTGCAAACAAATCAAGTATAGACGTACATACTTTACATATATACATAGTATATGTATTATAAAGTGTATCTAAATATATAAACATAATGAACATATATTTTCTATATTTGATGTTGAAGTTTTAGAGATGTATCCACGGAGAATTACCCCGGTTGGCGGGTACAAGCGCAGGGAAACAGTAAGCAAGATGCCTTGAAAACAGTACAAAGGGTGGTTAACAAAATATTGGTCAAAGGGCAGGCAACTTTTGTCTAAATAAGTAAAGCTATTTTTCTAATATTAGAGGCGATTATTTTTAAGCATACCACTGAAGCCTTGCTCTCACCTAAACGAATATCCTACTACTAAAGAAAATCCGACTTCTCCAGCCGTTCGTGCTTTTTCTGCAAGGGATTCAATGGGCATACTCGAGTGACAGTGAATTTGCATGTGATATATGTTTGTCGCACGGCCACCTGGGCATCCTTAGAACTTCCTACAAGATTAAAAGAATAATTAAAGAAAATTCTGCATTTTTGTCACACTTGCACACAGCAGGGCTACTATATTTGTAAATACTAGTTAACACATTCCAATTACGTTGTATAGTATAAAATCATGTTAAATATGTAATTACGAATATTTTGTGTATAGTTTAATGAAATAAAATATATTTCTGTTGCTTACTGAAAAAGAAATCACTAGCTACTTAATGTCTTCACTAATTTTAGTATTTTATTCATGTACTTTTCTTTTTTTTTTTCTCTTCTCTTTATTACTTTTCAAATAGGTGGCGGAAAAAAAAGAATAACCACAAATTGCGAATATTTTATTACTGTATATTGTATCATAATAAAGAATTATGTTTAAGAAAATAATAAAAGAATCATTGGAGCAAGGTTTATGTGGTCCTATACTATTGTGTAGCGATTAATAATAAATATATAAGAAGAATATTGTCTTATTGCAGTTGTTAAATATAATGAGAAATATTTACTAAATGTTAAGATTAGCGATCGATCATAGTTATTTTTCACTACTAGATTATTATTATTATTGTTTTAGTCGTTAGTCAGAAAATTCTTCAGTGCTGTGAAGATTGGCCGACCCTGGCCAGTCTGTGGTACCTAAGCCATCGGTTTATTACACCTGCTAGTATCCAAAGTCAAAAAATTTCGAGATCGATAGAAATCCTTGCACCAATTGCACCCGTTGCCAACTCGCCGTCCATCCAAGATATCTCATTGGCTCTTTCGCTCCGTACTCTTTGTGCCTCTTCGAGCTCTTTACCTTCCTCAGTTCATTCCGCACGTCGCAAAATGAAACTAGGGGAGAATAAAATATGCCGAATTCAATTGTTATTCCTTTCAATCAGTCCTACTACGATAATCAATCAAAAGAGTCACAAACACTCCGAGTATAGTTATATACTACATAGGATACGTCACAAAATTATAATTATTACATATATATCAAAATACCGCGCAATCAAGTAGCCAGCAACGATTTCTGTCATCGCTCACACTTTTTGACTTTTGACAAAAGAAAAACAAAACAGCAACTTTATCGATTACGCTAAAAAAACTTGTTCCCAAATTTTCAAATCGTCTAGTTCAACGCATCGTACAATCAGTTAATATTATAATAATAATATTAATAATAATAATACAGTGATGTTAGCATTCTTCGCTTTGTCAGGCAAAGAACAGACCGACGTTTTTACACTTTCTCTTTTATCAATCGCCTATCTTCTTCGTCCTTTATATATACATATATATATTCTTTTCTCTATCTCTAACGCTTCCACATTATTTTGACACCGACACGAATCGCACTACCTCCTCGTAACCGTATTAAGTTTTTATACTTTTACATTTTTAGTAACCACATACCTCAGACTAGACACCCGGATAGCAATGCGATACGATTTTGAATCTCGGTACTTTTATATATATTTAATAATTGTTTATTGTACATTGATAATTTAACGCTGTACAATATCAGTGAATCTGTTGTAACTTTGTTTGAAATGATTATGCATAGGATTGTTGCAAAATACTTTTTTTTTATAATTTGGCGCTTTTGAAATCGCTCTTTGCTGTTTGGGTGGGTAATGACAGATTTTAAAGCTAGAATGCCTTATTTATTGTGTAACAAGTTCGCTTTAACTCCGAATATACATGAAACATTTACTGAACGTGCCGATCTGATAATTTTGGAACAACCATTCTACCAATTCGCAAACACCATCCTTTTCCATTCAGCCACCTATCCAACCACCCAACCCACCCGACCCAGCCCTATCGTTCTACTGTGTAATGACTCCGGCGGTCCTTTAAACTTGTAACCTTTTGAAAGAATACCATCAAGAAGATGAATATCAGAATGAATAATATATCCATTATCTATGTACATGTCCATCCTATTTAATCGTCCGATAAAATTCCATTGCAAGATGTTTTAATCGACAATTGTAATTAGGAAAATAGGATAATTAACGGTGTTATGTACATTATGTTATATATTGATGTACAGTTACCAAGTAATCATCGGCAAAGCTCTAATTTAATGATCAATGTGATTCTTCGACTTTCGATTTGTCATTGGGATAATTATAAAGAAAGAATTATAATACGTGAGTTTAAGCAAGAAAGAGAGAGTGAGAGAGAGAGAGAGAGAGAGAGAGAGAGAAAATATTAAAATTATAAATCTTATGCGTTGTTGACACTGCCATTAGGAGCTGGCAATTGTAAATTATGTAGAAAAAAATTAATTGACTGTAAATATATCTTTATTATTAACATACAACTGTTCCTCCTTAGATTCAACGATATAATAAAACTTTGGCCGCGTTTATCGTTAACTATCCTCCAATTTACAATTAACGATATTCACGCGATTCTCGCATTTATCTTTAGTCGTAACGCGTCACATGCAGTAATAGAAATTCATCATTACGTGTTTACTCTTGAATTATTTTATATTCATGTACCGGACAAGAAGAAGATATTATCTTCGTAGCGAGCGACACATGCAGTTTACAGATTCGTGAGACTCATTCAAATTGCCTGATAATTTTCATCAAACGTTATACTTCCTTACGTTATATGTACATAAGTATATGCGCATCATTTATTTAACTATAATTATTATTAATGATGATTTGATACATTATCAACGGTTTTACTCATAAGTATTTCTAACTTGCTGTGAAGTTTGATACCATTAAAATACTTAGCGCAGTTCGTAATGGCGAACGCTATTGATAGGATAAAAATAGAATCTTAGTTAAATCAAGCAACGGATTGTTAATATTGGAATTCTAATGGAAAATTCATAAACGAGTTGTCTAAATGAGGTTCCAACAAGGTAAAAGCTTTTGCTAGATGTATGTTAATAAAACTTGGTCGTGTACGTTAGATATTTTCAAAACTTATTGAGGCGTTCATGAAAATTCATAATAGTTCTTGTTTTAAATAAATACGATTAGAGGGATACTTGCTATTTCACAATCAATTATTAATCGCTAAGTATGTGTTATCAATGTTGATATCGTGAATGTCTCTTGACGCGAATTGATAACAGGGTCTTGTAGTGATTAATGGTATGGTAATAGAGGTCACTAGTGTGGATCGCTCTTTAGATACTGATCGTAGGACTTCTCATCCATTAGTGTCTTGATTTCTTCACGATTTGATAATTCTATTTTGAATAACCAACCATCTTCATAACAAGAGCTGTTAATTAAACCAGGCTTGCTCTCTACAGCTTCGTTCTTCTCTAATACCTTGCCGCTGATTGGACTTATCACCTCTGAAGCAGCTTTTACAGACTCCAAAGCACCACACTCCTCTGCGAACAGTATTGCAATATAATATTACTTTGGAATATATTTAAGGAACTTTATACAGAGAGGAAAAACAATCTGACAAACCATTTTTACTAATTGTAACTCCAACGTCAGGAAGCTGTGCATAAACTACATCTCCCAGAGCATCCTGAGCATAATGAGAAATGCCCACTGTACCAATATTTCCTTCAACTGTTATCCATTCGTGCTTATCCGTATACCATCTCTCTGAGCATAAAGTAATTCAGACAAATTAATATATATATTCTATTCTATGTAAGATAAAATTTAAACGTACCCGCTCGTACGCATTGACTAGTGGTTATGTGACGTATTTTGAAGATTGACGCCGGTCTCGACGCTGTCGCGAGGAATTGGCTATCTTGAACGCAGATAGTCCTAACCGCCAGCTTTGTTATTTGTGTCACAAAACGTGCCATCTTCAAGATCAATTTCCTCAGGTGATTATATTTTAATTCACTTCTGTTCCTATGTCGTCTGCTCTTCGGCGACCTTGAATGAGTTACGTACCTTCCGCCAAGGGGCTATCCGAATCAGAACAAGGAGTGATGGAACGAAGAGTGTCCGACCGCGAGACTCAAGCAGACTCAGGCGAATGACGAAAACTTCCACAAGCTATTGGCATTTGTTGCCCAAGAGTTGAGGATACGAAGTTTCTCGCTTTTCGCGTCATGGATACTCTTATCATGTGAAAAAAAATTCTGAAAACCATCTCTTAACATTGGCAAGAGTACAAGGAATATCTAGTTCCTCATGGAACTTTCTTACAGAATCTTTTGTAGATCCGGCATCAGTTTCAGTTGTATTAGAAATCATTGATTACAATCAAAAACGCATTTGACGAGTTCTTTAGATTTTTCCTTCATTTTATTGTGTATTTTTTACAAAATAAGAATAAGGATTTGCATTTGCGAAATTTTTTTGCGTTGAATAACAATATTAAAGTTATTAATGTTGGACCCTTTAATCCTGCTGTTCAAGACTTACGATTATACGAGAGAAAAGTTTGTCTAGTTTTGGCTCATCTCTTATTATTCTTATCGGCGCCTGGTTCTTATGATCACGTGAGGTGAATAGGTCACTGTTTAGTAAATTTCTTTACAGTTGAGACTCATAAACAGCTTATCAGTATTGTACAATATCGGTGACCCTTAAGTTCAATCAAAATAAGTATGAAGTGTAACAAACACGTTTTACACCAGTCTGTGTATCCTGAGAATTTTTGTGATACTGTTCTTTCCTTTACGCCGTTGTAACATACGACATTTATTCAATAAAATTAATCAATATTCTTCTTTACATGCCTTTAAACAGATTAGAGGAAGAAAGACATTTTATTGTGAATCCTTTACTGAATAGATTTCAGGAATACTTTTTTGACATTATGAACACAAATGAAAAATCACTTTTGGAAATGTGTATGGATAATTAAAGGCCAATTGTGGAAGATCTTCCATTAGGATTATGCACCGATCCACATATGGGTTTGGATAAACACCATTCGTACCAAACATTCTTTGTACTACACCTTCTCCAAAAATGTATCTCAATCTCATCACCAGTCTTAAGCTGCACTGGCTCCTAGAATTTATATAAATTCTTTTTTACTTGAATTTCAAAAACATTTAAAATATATTTACTAACAACGTACCTTGATTGGGAAGAATATTGGGAACCAGCTGAACATACCAGTACTATGAGAATTTGGTTCTATACTTAATTTAACAGTATCGTACAGTACTGCATCAAAGTATCCAGAGAATCCATGTAATACTGAATTTTGTCTTACAGTAAATTTCTTAACTGCATACCGAGTATTATCAATAACAATATCTAAAAATGAAGCGCAGTAATAATATATTAACAACAGGGACGAGAAAAATGTTAATTCATAATTACAGTTAAACTCACCTTTGTTTGGATGATGAAAAGAAAACAAAGATTGAGGTGCCGCAATGTCATATTTGTTCTGCAGATGAACGACATAGGGCGTTTCAAAATGAGCTATTGCATGTTTATCCTTTTCCTTACACTGTTTTACTTCGTTATACAATTTTGAGGATTGTACAGGGCTGATATAAGATGTATACGAAGATGGTATACTAACACCATCATCTTTAAAAGCAATAAATATTAACAAAATAAAACATGTATAAAAGTATTAGCTTAATTTGTGAATCCTGACCTTTCAAAAATTTCTGTACACCATCCAAACATTCTGGAGACAATTCGTTGTCCCCAAACGAACCAAGTAATTCAGACACAAGAATGTCTGCTTTCTCCGGAGCTTCCCAATTTCTCATATCACATGATACTACTGTCACTCTGTTTGACCACATTTCCTTCACTAAGGCTTGTAAACTGTAATTGCAGCATATAACATAAGTTTTTAATTGTACAATAATACTACTTTTAAAATTATGGATCTTACGTTATCACGGCATTGGGATTCTTCTCCACAGCATACACCTTGACATTCTTGTGAGCGTGATCAGCAGCATTCAAAGAAGCTCGCACCAATGGACCTCTACCTGCTCCGACTAACATAATTACACTGTAAGAAACAATAAACTTAATTAATGGTTTTGATAGAATTTTAATTGCACGAATTTCTGTTACTAACATGGGTTCAGTTTTCCTTAATTTTTTACTTTTATCCACGATAGCCATATGAATTGCTCTCTGATACTCTGTGTACTTTACAGGATCTTTTTCAAATATTTCATAAGTTTGTGATTCCAAATTATCCATCAACGGTTGTAAGGGGCATTGCAGGTAGTCCTCATATCCACGAGCAAATTTTTCAACAGGTCCGTTAATTTGACAGCTCTGGTTAAATGAAAAGTTTAATTAGAATAGTTTTGATGTTAGGATAGTCGTTGATAATTACCTTCCACAAGTAATCTAAGTAGCTGTGATAGTTGCTAATGTTTTGATGCCTATTAGCGCCTGTTAGAATAAACTGAATGTCGTGTGAGCAGAATTTTTTTATTAGTGTTTGATGAGCTCTACTCAATACGGGATATCCTCTCTTATTAGATATAAATAATGTTGTAGGAAAAATTAAGCACTTCACTGGTTCACCCAGCCATCTATCAATCTGTAAATTAATTATTTGTAAAATTGAATATTTTTTAATTTCATATTTATATAATAGATGTACCTCCTCCGATTCGGGTAAGTCGTGGCTTACTATTAAAGCAACTCCTATTTTACGTTCAAAATCACAAACTGTTCTAAAAGAATTCCACCACTCCCATGGACTCTCTAACGAATGTTCCTCATCATCTCTATAGGTGTAAGCCTGTTTTGCAGGATTTTCCATAGGTACTTGAACCCAAACCTTTAACAATAAAGAAGTGCGTAAAAGGTGGTACGCATTGTGCAGGATGCATAAATGTCATCTATGGATAGTACCTGAAAAATGCAGGTGGTCATAATTTTATCGTATATTATTCTTGCAAGATTCATGTGTTTTTGTATGTTTCCTTTTAGTTTGAAAGTTATTGCAGGCACTCCCAAATGTGCAGCAAGAGAGAGCTCTTGATTTAATGCAGTCTCACTGTTCTTCATCAGCATGGGAATCTTTGAATCTGGGTTGAAATAAGGTGATAACTTACCGATCACCAAATTATTCCAATCTACAAAGAATAAGAATGGCTTGCTAAAGTTTTATAATTATTAAATACTATAGAGAAAGAAAATGAATGTGCAGTCTTGTTACCAGAACTGCATAACAGCATATCAGATCTTGTAAATGGTCCTGGTCTTTCTTTTGCATTTCCACTAAAGAACTCTCTTTTAAAATTTGGATGAACCAAAGGTACACATACAAAGTCAAACCTATAGAACAAGCACAACTGCATTGTAATACCAGTATTCAATAAATTTATTTATTTAATATCTTACTTATTTGTTGTGGCTTGATGTAAACAATTGTTTAAATTAGGAGCAGCACAGAAGTCCAGCCCGCAAGACACTGGTCTGTGAGTTGCCATTTTGAATATTGTTTATTCCAAAATTGTATGACTGAAACAATAAAATAAAATATTTAAAACAAAATATCTCATTTTGTATTTGTGCACTTATCAAATAACTAAGACTATTGTATTTCGCATAATATTGTTCCATGTCCAGCTTAAATAAAATAAATGTATATTTATTTATACAAAACCTATTCTTTTTTTTTTTAATAATACATGAAAGATAAGTAACCGGCGTTTTATAGTATCATGTACCAAATATTAGTACATATAACAATCTGAAATGTGCAAAACTCAGAAAATACAATTCGCATAATACACATAAACTTGTCTAGCGCAAAGTAGAGATTTAAAATTTTTATATTTTAAACAACTGAAAAATAATTACCAACTATGTGAACCTTTGTTTGAATAAATGTTTTACTTATGAGTTTAATGCATGAAACAGTCGTAAGATAATGCATGTGTTTAGTAGGGCACGTGGTCGTGAATTAAGACTTAGGGTGCATTTACACGCAAGCGATAAGTAAGTTGGAAAAATTTGTCCAAGTAATTCGACTATTATTGGTAGACTCTCTGCCAATCACAGGTGTACCAATATTTTATTATCGACCAGTTCTTGTAGGTAGAACTTTTAAGTTCGTGCCGTTTTACGTTTATGTGACGCTTGTTGCGGCCTCCATTTGTGCGTGGATTTTATTTCGTCTACATTTTTCAGCCCTTTACATAAGACTGGACTCCACTTAGGTAAGTCAATACCAAAACGATTTCTTCATGAAATAAAATGATTTTCATTTGTGGAACTGTGTAAAAGATAATGATTACAATAATGAAATACTTTTTGGAGCAACCATTTTTTACTCCATATCCCCAATTCTCAAACGTTCCGTACTAAGCTAAGACAATTCACACATTTCTTGTTTAGCACTATTTTTGTAGTTAAATGTTTTTTCTTCGATTTTAGGAACAATGTCCTTCAATCGAGGAATGAAAAGGGATTCCTTCGGGAATAGAAACTTCAATAACCGTGGCGGAGGCGGCGGCGGAAGTGGCGGCGGTGGAGGTGGTGGAGGCGGCGGAGGAAATATGGGGGGCGGTGGTGGAGGAATGTCTGGAGGTGGCGGCGGTGGAGGTGGTGGTATGAATCCCTGGGAAAGTGGCATGATGCCTGGAAGAGGAATTCTACCAACGCCAAACAATAATCTGTCTCTAGCATCACCACAGGCTCAACTTGCGATAGCTAGTAATCTCCTGACGAATCTTCTTCGTAGTCAACAGGATACACAGCCACAAGTAAATATATAAACTATAAATTACTTAAGCAATGATGTACATATATAGAATAATGCCTGATCGTACAAAAGTATCCTACACGAAAGGTACCATCCCTGCTGAGCCTTGGAAATAATTTTGGTGGCCCAGGCCCAAATTTCCATGGTCAGCAGAACTACTCTCCTGGACGCTACAACGATCGTCCCATGAGACATCCAATGAAGAATAATCGTCCTCAACCTTACAACAAGGTATGACTTAACACAAAGTTAGTATTGATTATACAGAATATGAGCTTCCGTTATTTTTCTGAGAGAGGATTCGAATGGAACTTATTGATGAGCGAGTTATTATTTTTCGCACAATCCTATTTGACATTTCATTACAGTCTCAGGCTGTTACATAGACTATCTTTGGATTCGAAATTTCTCCTCGTACTCGTCCAGAATTCGATGGGTCGTCTGGATATTCGTTATTGTACAGCAGTGCACGGGCGTCCCGTCGACTCTATACGAGATACGCAGCCCTAATAACTCATTTGACTTGATTTCTCTGTTGGTATTGAATTTGCGTATCTCGGTGTCGCCAATATGTGTACAGATTCTCGCAATTCTCGCTACACCACATTACTAAGCAATCAATCCCCATACTTATCACGAAACTCTATTGATAACGGTGCGTAATAACAATTTCAAGGAGAAGCGCCAATTGCTTTGTAAAGACTTCGCATCTTTTGAGACGTATTTGGATACGAATGAAATTTCCTACCAGTACCAGAAGACGACGTTGACATGTACGTCTTCTGTAAAAACAGGAACTCGCCACAACTCTTGTCTCTGTTCTGTCCGCTTATCTGGATGTATAAGCAGGAACAACAGAAAATCCCGAATTTATGAATATTTCTATTTCCCGAGTCCCGATACAAGTACAAAATATTTGTTCTGCCTTCATTTCCCTGTGGTTACTACGAATCAGCTTCGATTCGTGAAGAATCACAGTTATTGTCAGATACTTCTCATGACGGTTTGGTCGTGTTTGACCTACATGACTAGATGGGCAATAATCGCGCCCGAGACGGCGTCGTTGGGCGACGTGGCCCATCCGCACAACAATCTCGTGCACCCCAGTCCGGAAACCAACGTATGAACGGAAACCAAATTCAGCATCGCAACGATAAATCTTCTAAACCAATTCCTGCCTCTAAACAAAATCAGACTGCCAAAAAGGAACAGCAGGATGTTAAGACCTCTGATAACGAAAAGGCAGAAACACCCGTTGTCAAAAGGTAAGCTCCTGGCGATTGCGACATAGTCTCTTCAAAACTTCAACAGCGGGTTCTCATTCTCTATTATATATTTCTCTCTATCACGTACAAGTACACAACTCACAGCAACCCTACCTACCTATTTACCTTATGCCTACCAACCTACCTACCTTCGTACGTCTTTTGACATAAGAGTATTGCAATACATTCGGCAATCCGTTTCTTGACGTCCATTAATTGATCTTTTTAAATTAAATCCAAAGCCTTGGCTACGTTTCTTTACTGCATCCTGGTTACGCGATACTACAACCCACAATTCATATCTTGGATTTAAACGCGCGAAAACTGCCTGCCTTTAGGGCAACCTCTGGATGATCCACGTGTATCACGTATTTCAAGAGATTCTTCACATCTTGCGGCAGTCCTCGTTAACAGTTTCGTTCGTCAAATCATTTTTCACAAACGTTTTATATTTTCCAAGGACCACTCGTCATTCCCATACCGCCTCCTTCGCTATGAGAACCGTGGGTTTTTCGTTTCATTGATAAAAATCTCGTTTCTTGATTTTTTTTTTATTTTACTATCACTCGGATCGAGTCTAGATAGATATGCAGTACACTTTTTTTTTTAAATTAGGTATCCAAGCGATTTTATTATTTACCAAACTGTTTTCTCCATCTTTTATCCCATACTCATATATGAACTGGGTAAAAAAAGTTTTTTCTAACATTTGAAATTTTAAGAGAACTCCGGTCTTGTGTCACTCCCAGATCTCTTGGAGATCTTCTGCTTTAAGAAGATGGATAAAACAGTAGGATACACGTCCGCGTAACACAATGTACCTGAAGAGATTATACATTTTTAAAACAGTGAGAAGGGCAGTAATGATGCTCCGGAGGAGAAGAAAGCAGAAGTGAAGGAAGAAAAGGAGGAGATAGCCGAGGCTACTCCAGCAGAGAAAATTGAAGGTGAGGAAGAACCAAAGGAATCTGCTGCAAGTGAGGAAACTGAGCAGACTGAGTCTACTCAGCAGCAGACTTCTTCAAAGGAAGAGAATGAGCCAGTTCAGGATAAGGATAAAGAGAAAGATAAGGATAAGGATCCTAAAGCGTATGGAAAAAAATCTGAGGCAAGACATGCAGAGAGTCGATATGCTGAGGTTCCTATGAATCGAATGTTTTGTCCTGTTTGTAACAAGCATATGTGGGATGGATATGTAAGTGATACTATAACGCAATTTATCTTATTATCATATCAGAAGGTAGAATGACTATGTCCTATTTTAGTCATTTGAGAATCATCTTCGTGGACGAGCTCATCAACTGATGATGGATAAATTAGATGAATCCTATAAGCTTAAGGTGGATCTGATGCGTCATGAGTTAAGAGTTGCCGAAGAGCAACGTGAACTTACCTTAAGTAATTCTAAACGTCGTGGAAAAAAGGTACTTCGATAGATTTACTTTTTTATTAATAAAATCTGACCTTGTATTAATTTCATGCAATTCCAACAGCTTTCCGTAGACCTTAATGTCAGAGAATATTGCACAATGTGTGACTTGAACTTCTACGGTACTTTGTCGAGTCATCGAAAGAGCGAGAAGCATCAACAGTTAAAAACATTTTTGCATCCAAGATGTTTCCCATGTGTCAAGGAATTCCCATCTCGTATAGAATATGACGAGCACTGTCTTACACCAGCGCATATGAAGAATGCTGTTCAAAATGAGGAGCAGAGAAAGAACAAGAAGAAAGGTCAGTCGACGAATGCAATGATTAAAAAAGAGCAGTTATACAGAGCATTAGAGAAAATTATATTTTGTTGTATTTGCAGAGAAATTAGCCAAGGGTGAGGCTGAAGTTCGCACTGCTGAAGATGAAGAGAAAGATATCGGAGTAGAACCCAAGACTGAGAAGGATGAAGAACCTCAGCCTGCTGAGAATACAGTTTTTCTTACAGATATCACTGATGATATTACTGATACAAAATACAAAGTACCATCTTTTAAGCATTGTCGTCAAAATCAAATTGCCATTGGTAATTATATTTTATTTGTCCTATTTATTTACTACTTATATCATTCACACAACATTCTTATTGAATGTTTAATATTAACTTGGTTTATTTTTCAGGTAAGTCTCTCGTGAAAGAGGTCCAGGGTTATTATTGTGAGAAATGCCGACGTTTCATGATGACATCAGATGACATGACAGCTCATCTCCGTACCATAACTCATTATCGTAACTTTGTGCAAGAGGTAAAAGCATTGACCTCAACTCCTGGAAATGCCACAACGAAGACGTTAGACGAATCTGAGGTATTCTGACTTATGAATAAGAAAATAATAACCAACTCTTGGCAGGGATGCTAAAATTAGAAATTTAATGATTTCCACATTTTTCTATTTCAGACCAACGAGAAGGAGACACAGAATGAGAACGAGGAGGAGGAAGAAGAGGATGGTCCAGGAAGCTGTAAGAGACGTAAGACCTCAAATTCTGAAGAGAACAACGAAGATGTTTCTGAGACAGCCAACGAAACGAGTAACGGAAGCGCCTTGGCAGCAAAGAAATCCGACGGTGATGAGAAATACGATCCTTTGGAGGCAGATGCTGAGTCTGAAGAGGACGAAAGTAATCGATTAAATCCGGAACAGAGTCAAGCGGAAGTCCAGGATGCTGAGATTAATCAAGAGAAAAATACTCCAGCAGAAAAGATGTGGGCTGATATTGATAACGATAACGAAGGTGAAATAGGTAATCTTTTGGATGAGACAGGAGAGGAGAAGGATCAGCAACCGGAACAGGAAGCGGAACAGACAGTAGCGCCACCAAAGGTTGAGAGAAATATCACGCCGCCACAGTCAAAGCCTCAACGAGGTCGTGGTTATCCTCGTGGACGTGGAGGACGAGGACGAAGATCTCGTCGGTAAACTATCGCTCCGTAATCGGAAAACATGTCTAGGATTTATTCTACGAAGCAGAAGTTGATAACAATTATTCTACCTGTATGTCCGCTTCGCGGAATACTTGGCGATGCTAATTATGTTTTTGTGTTGCGATTTCGCACTACGAGACAGAGGAACAATAATTCCAAGTCCGGAGTAAGCGTAAATCGAATGCGGATCCCTGTGCACACGGAGTAATTGCAATAGAGACTAAAGATTCGTGGGCAAAGCTTTCTTCTTTTTTCCTTTTTTATTCTTATTTTTCTCAGTGCAATTTTTTTCGGAAATAACATCACGACTGCTAAGTTATTTCAGATCGACTGTAATGATTATCAGAATATAAATGTTTCTACCTATAAAAATAAGCGGATCAAGAGGTTGAATCAAATGAATTAAGAATAAGGTCTTATCTTGATTATTCAAATTAAGCGTTTCTCCTTTTTTTTTGTATTGCATCTGCAATATTTTTTATCGTGTAATTAATATCCACAGGCATCAATGTCAATAGACAACATGAAACATGATCTCTAATCTTATACTCTTAATCTTACTGTTCAAGTGTCGCACTGTCAAATACATCCGGCCCAATTTTTCTCTATTTCTCTCTATATGAAATTTAATCAGATGTTTCACTTTGACGCTGTATTTCGACATTTTTGTTGGTCGAAAGGCAACTGGATGCCTTGAGTGTTTCAGATTGATTGACATCATTTAGATGGTAATCGTGCACCATGAATTTTACAATGACTAATTATACATAGGAAATTTCATTCCAACAGCAGAGAGTAATTTTATCGTCGAACTTCGTGTATTGATACTATGAAAAAGAACGAAATAAACAGTACACAAAAATATCTTCTGGTTTTTTGTTTTTTTTTTAAAAAAATTTCAACAATGTTTATAGGATAATGTTTGTTATATTTTCCAAGTATAAAATTGGTGAATGAATTAATTGGTTTAGTCTATGGACAAGTGAGTGGCTAAAAATTCATCTACTGAGTCTGTATCCCACTTATGAATATCAAGTATATCTTCAACTTTATTGTCCGAATCAAAAAGCTTGATAATTGGATCCAAGCCACGGACGTATTTTATTTGTAGATTCTTGTACTTGCTGGGACGATCACTTTTAATGAAGGCTAAAATAAAATAATATATTTAGTCATAATGCTTTGATTAATTACTAATCTGCTAAAATACAACAAATTAAATTTTTACCCTGAATCTGGGGATATGCTCCAAATTTACATGTACACACTTCAAGGACTGCCTTTGGGTAACGCTTCTGACCTAATGCATCATCGTCATCATCTTTCAAGCAACATTCCTTGCATTTGTCACTATAATTTGTCAAGTAAAGTCATTATGCCTGAAACAGTGCATCACAAGATACTAAAAGTATATACTCACTACATATCATGAAGATTATAAGTAACCAATTTTTCACATGTGGAACATAGTAAATTAGCTTTATTGTATCCTAAGAGCTTGCAATCTTCTGCCGAAAAGTCTGCGGCAATTGTATTTAGCTAAGGAAAAGAACAATATGAAACACTACATTCTGGTTATGATTTTCATCATAAAAACTCACACGATAATAAATTGACAACAGTAATACTAAATATCCAAATGTACTTACTAGTAAACCAAATATTAATGGGTACATCACTGCATGAACGTACATTTTATGAAATGATACGAATAACTATTGACGTATACAACAGGCGCCATAGATGAGTAAGGAGTAGAGTCCCTCTAGTAAGAGTCCGGCCAACACCCGGAAGGGACGCCATATTAAGGGCTGGTTTGGCGCCACCATGACATTGCGCGAGACTCGGTCGAATCTCGCGCCAAGCACAGGCAAGCCACCGTACAGGGCTTAACGCCATCCACCCTACACAATGCGAATCTCACCCATATAAGTATTCACACACACCATTCTATTCCGGAAAGAGCCCATAATATGGCGGAGCCAATGACTAACAAGCCCCACCGTTGGCCGGACTCTTTGGCCGTTGGCCAAATTTGTTCGTTGGCCGTAAGAAGCTGTACAACGCTACAGTTTTTAGCGCAGCGATGAGTGGGGAGATGCACAACGCTCCGGTTTTAGGCGATACCAAAAGCATGGCGCTAAATCGTAGCGGCGAGTCCGGGAGTAGGATTTCGTGACCATCGCCTCCGTCGACAATGCGAATCCCGTCGTAGCCGAACTAAGCGTAAACACGAACGCGTAGCTTGGCGGACAGAGGTTCTCCGCTTTCTTCTCGTTCTCGTTCTGATTCTTCCTCGAGCCGGTCTCCTATACTGGTCTCTTGGAAGCACCCCCCATATCCATTTACAACCTTCTTCTATTTGTATATTTATTACTTAATCCTTCATTCTTTACTTTCTTACTTATCTCTTTCCTTACTTCTTCTCTAATTTTATAACTCTATTCCTTATTTTTATACCTTTTGACTTTTTTATTTCTATCTTCCTTCCTGTCTTCTCGTTTCACTCTGTTCCCTCTCACTTTCCATTGTGCTTGTCTTATACTTCCTATTCCTTTGGTCGGGTCGAGCTATTAATTCAAGTAGTCATATAAGAGTAGTCATCCGGTTAGTGCAGCTAGACTTAAGACCATGGTGTCGGGGGTTGCCCTTCCGCCTCATCTGTTGAGCTTGCTCAATGGGTCGGGCCCAAGTTGTGGCCGCAACAGGTCCTTATGGGTCTCCCGACGGGGGCCTTGAGCCCCCTTAGGGTATCTACGGCCATGGTCTTTCGTATAGTGAATCTAACCAGGTGTCTAGCTCTCGCGTATTTAGTATAATTTGTTCGCTTTGCTAAAAATGCTCCAACATGTCGTTGACCCTTGGGCACTTGTGTGGGTAGAGACGATCCTATGTGTCGGTGGGGAGGTCGTGCGGGGTAGTCCGTTGACTCTGGGTAAAGTCCGATTTGTGTTTGTGCTTGGGGGTCTCCTTCACTTGGGGTAGGTGCGGGTGCTACTGAGCACCTGCTAGTATAAAGTCATCCTCTGTCGGAGACATTTTGCGCGGGGATCGATGGCTAACGGGGCCCGCCGCCGGCGGCGGGCGTGGTTCCTTACGTCTAACCCACTGGGCTCGCCCGTAATATTTCAATTTGAATGTAATTCATTTTCGATATTCTACAGTTTCAATTCAAATTTTATCTACTCCGTATATTCTGCGAGATTTTTATTTAGCTTCAATTTTATATTTTGAATAAATTTTGAAAGTAAATCAAGATCCAATAATATTTAGTAAAAATTGAGGTGCTACACGGGTGTCAAGTTGGCACTTTTTTAAAAATGTCTTAAAAATATTTCCACAATAAGCTTTTTCAATAACTCTTGAGAAGTTCTATATTTCCCGGTCTCGTTCTAAGAGTTGCTTTGGGAACCAGCGGTGAGTAGCGGAGAACCTCTGCCCGCCAAGCTACGCGTTCGTGTTCACGTTTAGCTCGACGACGACGGGATTTTTATTGTCGACGGAGGCGATGATCACAGAATTCTACTTCCAGACTTGCTGCTACGATTTAGGGGCATGATTTTGGTATCGCCTAAAACTGTAGCGTTGTGCATCTCCCTGCTCATCTCTGGTAAATAAAACAAAATTATAACCGTCCCCGAACTTGCCGCTACGATTTACCGGCATGATTTTGGTACCACCGAAAACCGGAGTGTTGTACATCTCCCTGCTCATCTTTGCTCAGAGCAACCCTTACAACGAGGCAGTTCATCGAATTAAGCATAAATACATATTTAAGCAATATCTGATGAGCGGCCTCGTTCTAAGGGTTGTTCTGAGAACCAGCGGTAAGTTGCGGAGTACCTCTGCCGGCCAGGCTACACGTTCGTGATCACGTTCAGCTCGGCTACGACGGGATATGCTTTGTCGACGGAGTTGATGATCACAATATCCTACTTCCAGACTCGCCGCTATGATTTAGCGCCACGATTTTGGTATCGCCGAAAATCGTAGCGCTGTGCATCTCCCTATTCATCTCTGCTCCCTATTCACCTGTGGAGCCACGTTTTTAACTTTATGACAAAGAAGTTTCATGAAGTATCCAGCAGACGCTGCTATTCAAAATTTAAAACGCAGCAGATAACATTTCACGTATGTAACTTGATGAAATAAAAGCGCGAAACAGTTAATAAATTTTCTTCATCTTTCACCCTATCAAAACAGTAAAATTCATTGGAAGAAAGAAAAAGTTTTTCCTCCAAGTATTCTTCTGAGTTAAAACCCTGTTGCGTTCACCAGAATATAGTCGGTCAAAAACCGTTTGAAAATTTCCACCATGCAATTATCATTCCTTATTCCATCACCTGAAGCAGCATAGTCATAGGATAACGATAGTAAGAAAGGATAAAATTGTCAGATCATAGAAAACAACAATGATTCAATTAAAACAATAACAAATACATATATTTCTCGAAATGTGGTACAGTAGGTTTCTTCTTTTTTTTTTAAATTGGTGGTCGTTCATACTTCACAGTTTTCACTTTTTGTTTCTCATTTCGTACATGGATCGGATGATTTTGGCGTGACGGCATTGTGTGTTCCGTTCTCTATATCTATTCTTGTCTCCTATAATCTGAGAGCAAAGCTGGTAGCATCACACACGTGTGTCTGCCCCTAGTTCGCTGGCATTTTTATTTGCTACAATATAATTCACTATCGTCGGATCATCGCAAAAATGTCGAGGACTATAAACCGCGGCAACAATGATCGCGCGACTCCAGCCAATCACTTTCAAGCAAAACAGTCATTCGAATCGATCGATACCTTCCCAAAAACAAAAAGATACAAAGGGATATTCATAGAAGCGACAATGGATTCGCGCGAAAACATTCGGCCTTCCTACTATTTCATTAACCCGCCCCCGGCCCCCCTTCAGTGCCATGCAGAATATCGAAAATATTTTCTAGTTGCAATAAAAAATTCTCCCATCAAAACAATTGCAAGGATATTGAATCAGGCGTATACCACCGGCACGAATAAACTTGAAGCATTTTCATGGAAGCTACACAAAAATCCCACCTGGAACAATCACCCACAAGAATCCCAAGATTTTGAAACTGACAACAGATAAAAATGAATAAAGAGCAACGATTCAAATTAAACTATCGTCTTACGTAAAATCGCAATGGGATCCTGTCGACGACTCAATTATTGTCGCTTAAATGAAAATGCTGCCAAATCTTTCGCAAAGCTCCAATCCCCTCTTCAATCAATAATTCTGTACAGATCCTTTATACGCTGTCAGGTATCTTAACACTTTGCCATCTAATCAGCCTGTCGTTATACCGACACCTTGAAGAGAAGATAAAAAAAAAGATAAAAACGTAGAATACGACTGAGAACTCTAATGCAGCCATGATTTATCTCCATGTAACAATTTCTCATCTCTCTATAATATTATACCGAAACAAAATAAACATCTAAAAACTTAAAAAGATGTAGGCTAGTAGCCGGAGCAGCCACCTTTACAATCAATCACGATCGTCATCGTTCCTCTCGTCATAATGTAATTACAATTATATATAAGTAAATAGTCTATACACGAAATAATGTTATGAGGTCGTCAGGATCGTCATTGTAACAGTCGCGGTCGGTTAGAAGAATTATTATTAACAACAAATAATAATATTAATAATATTAATAATAATAATAGTCATCGTCACGGCCGTATCGTCATCGTCACCGATGACGACGACGTTGTAACATCTGTCATACAGAATCATCAATCTTAGCGTTTCGGACGACCGTGGGCGGTTTGTGACGTTACGTTCCTTCTCTACGTTGGCGACGCTTTCCGCGCACTTGAGCGCCACTACGATTTAACGTGTGAACTATATGCTAACGAAAGGAGAAAAAAAGAAAGAAAAAAGTACTTTCCTAGCCTTACAATAAAAACAACTAGAATCACTGTGTACCATCACCACGTGGATACGCTAGAAATATTAAAAACCCTCCGGGAGAACTAGGAGCTAGATTCGTGCGCAGAAAACGTCGATAAGAATTACATTCTTTAATTTTCTTTTTTTTTTTCTTTCTTTTCCCCTTTAAATCTTTTCTATTCCTGTCACTCCCTCTCTCTCCCTCTCTCTCTCTCTCTCTCTCTCTCTCTCACTCGCATAACACAGCACGATTCCACGAATCAATACACAACGATCGTTATCCATAGTTTCTTTTCTGTTTCTCATTATTGTTATATTAAATTCATGATTTTTTAATGATAAACCGAGCGATTCTTTAAAAAGATCTGTACTTGTTTGTTTCTATTCTTTGTCCTTCTCTTTTGTCTCTTTCACTCTTGCCTGAATAACATATGTATATCACGCTCTCTCTTTCTGTCTCTCTCTCTCTCTCTCTCTCTCTCTGTCCTTTCTCCTTATGCATATACAATATTACAGGCTATCTCACTTCAGCACGCATTCCGTCGCATTCTCTCCATTCAATCACAGGCTCTATCTTTGTATCTTTCTTTGCGTTACTCTCTCTCTCTCTCTCTTTCTCTCTCTCACTTTGTCTTTCTCTCACTTGGAGATATTCGCTAAAAAAATATGACGTCGAAAAAGGAAAAAGAAAAAGTAATATCGCAACGACGACGAGGCCAAGGCAAATATCTTCGCGATACGGTTGTTGACGACTGTCGTCATACAGTCGTCATCATGTGACGTAACAGCGTAACGTGTCTTGGAAACAATACACGAGATTTGTATTACGTCGACGCACGTGCGACAAGACGTCGTCCACGTTATGTCTTAAGAAGGACTTCGTCACTATCCTGGTTTACAATTCGCTACGCGCTTCGTTGAACACAATACAAGGCCTTACAATTAAAAAAGAAAACCAAAAATAAAAAATAACGGATTGATCGATATTCTAGGGCCTCTTAGGTATATCTATAGGTATACATGTACAGTATTTAAATACGTTTTCGTGTCCCGCCAGTCTGATGTATTTATATGCGCGTGAAGAAATTCTTTTCAATTTGTTATTGTTTCCTTTAACTTATCGTTAGGCTGAATCGTGATCATTATAAATTTTGACGTTAAATATCGAACGAAAAGAATTATACAATTCTAGCCGACAGTCCTAGGACAGTTTTTAACATAATTTTGCGCGCGAGGAACGTCATGTTTATTATATAATATATTTATATACTATATATCGTATGTGTACTTATGTATCTATATGACATATCTATATAATGTGCGCAACGAAACGAAACGAATACCAGACTTTTGTCACAGCACGCAGACATGATCCCCGAGCAACGTGGGATCAGAATAGATTTCCTACGATCGCGCCACATTTTTTTTGTGATCCGTATCGAGAATTATTTACAATGGCTCGGTGAACGCGACGCGGCTGGAGTAGCGAGCTTAGGCGTTACTGTTGTTATTATTATCATACCGACTTGATAAAGCGAATTAGCACGTGACCGCGCACGTGGGTATTTATATTATTTTCGCTCCTTTTCTCCCTCCGCACTTATTATTTTTTTTCTTCGTCCTACTTCTCCGCCTTCTTTTACTTATTGTTATATAAGAAAATTTAGCGCCCGTGAAAAAGGCACCAAAAGTAAGCTCACATGATTCAACCACGAGAGGTCTCTATCATTCCATGTGTAATTAACGCCCTGGCGGCTGGCCCTGGTAACCAATACGCGACTTCCTGTGTACACCGGGTCTGTGAGGAAGACGGACAAGAGAAAAAGAAGTACTGAAGTGGATGATTAAAGAAAAATTTATAAAGCGAGAAACAGAGAAAGAGTAAGAGAGAGAGAGAGAGAGAGAGAGAAATAGTAAGATGATGAGAGAAAAGAAACAGATATCGAGGGGATTGAAAGAATAAAAATGATAATAACAGATCATAACAACATGCTTAAACGTCATTATTGAATACAGATAATTGATAGATCATTCGATGACAAAAGTCACTAGTCGAAGAAAAGAGCCACGAACAAGATATGCCTGAATGTTTGTGATCGATGACAGACTTTTGGTTCGAGATCAGATTTTATTAAATCAAGACAAAAGAGATGCAACATAGAGAATGAGAGGATTGAAGGAGAATTAGAGAGATAGAACAAGAGAGAGAGAGAGAGAGAGAGAGTGAGAGAGAGAGAAAGAGAAACATAAGTTTAACAAAGAGAGTAAAGAACAGAGTGCGAAGTAAAAGTCAAAAGAAAAAAAAAAGAAAATTCCCCCAATTCCAAGATACATTCTTTTTTCCCTCCTTCTTTACTGTTTCTATTGGCATCGATGGAAAATATCGTTCAGGCATCTTTCTCCTTTTTTTTCTCTCAAGACTCATTTGAAAATGGCGGAGCTTCCTGTTCAAACGTATGCAGCGGTTGGGCTTACGCGCGTGCAAGTGTATAGTGTATTGTATATATATATATATATATATATATATATACAATATATATGTATATATATGTATATGTCTCTCCATACGCAAGTGTAAACTGTATACGTGTACTGAGTGTAAAATGCAATTGTTGGTATTTCCCAATGATAAAAGATAAAAGTGATCCGATCGTAATCTGCGAGAATATGCGTGCGAATGTAATGTGTACGTTTGTTTATACATATATTGCGTCATCGGATTAACATAACGTGTGTACATGGTGTGTGTCTTTGTAGTGTCGCGGGTGTTACGTAATATGTATACGTGTCCTCTTCATTTAAATGTAGATACAGGTATCTCTCTCTAGTATTGTTCATACTATAATATGATATCGATATTATATATAATATATATATAATCTAACTATACATATAACTATGTACAAGTGAGGCTGAGGAGAATCTAGGGGATGGATAAAAGGCATCAGGTTGGTAGATAAGATAAGTTTTCACTTAGTGTTAACGCGAATAGGATTATACGGATGGGATATATGGGGAAAAATGGGTGATGGATAATGTTGGGGGGAGAGGGGAGGGGGGTATAATGAATTTTTTTAATAGAAATTTGTGTGGGACTGTCTTCATCTGCGTGTTTCTTCCTGTAGACGACGGAGACGCGATCTAAGTAGGGAAGAGACGCTGGGTAACGAAGAACTGTGAAGACGCGTCGCGACGGCCATTGGTTAGACGTCCGTGTATTTGCTGAGCTTATCACGCAGAAGCATGTTCTCGTTCTTTAACCGATCCAATTCCTGTCGCAGACCCATGTTCTGTAAAAAATGATAAAGGGGAGATCAGAAACAAAATGGCGTCGACTTGCCCTGGCATGAGTCATTAGGGAAACATTATAGTAGTATGAGTCTTTTTTTAATATAAATAAATAATTTTTAACTGTTATCAATATAATCAATGCCCACACGTGCTTACGTATTGTAATGTATATTGATCAGTGTTCGCGTATCCCAGTAGAAGAGGATCCTGGTTTCTCATATAGTTTCTTACCTCCTTCTCCAGGAAGCCGGCTCTCAGGGCTATCTGATTCTCCTTCATGCGACGTGCGTCTCGCGATCTCTTTGCCGCCATGTTGTTCTTCCTGCGACGAGCCCAGTATTTGTCATCCTTCAAGTCGTCCGGAACGAACTGGGGTACCAAATGGAGCAATGTTACCGACGCATACTAGAAGCTCCCTACTTTATCTACATGATGTCACATTCTTCCCTGCGGATGCGGCATCGGGACTCACCTGTTTCCGTGACTTCTTGATCATCGGCTGGGGCTTCAGTTCCTCGTCGGAGAAGGCTCGGGTGCGGGGGTCGAAGTCTCGCCCCGATGACGCCATCGAGAGCGCTACAAGAGACAAGCCATATTGTATTCGTGACGAGTCCTCGGAATCTGTTGCTCGCAAGAGAATCGACAACGGCCACGTTAGTATGGCGAGTATCTATTTCCATTGTCTCTTTACAATTGCCGTCCATGGGTGCTCAAGGATCAGGATGACGAGGGTCATCAGGAGTCAATAAAATTATATTTAAAAAATTCTGTTTTTTTTTTTTTTTTTTTTTTTT